CCCCCCCCCCCGCATAAACAGTTAAACACAGCAATGCAATTGAAATAACAGTAACATTAAACAACTGGAATTGGCTAAACTTTCTAAGCAAATGAAGGTGGATGGTGGCGGCATATGGTTAGGTGGACTCCTCTAGTGGCGGGATATCTGTGATATCTTCCGTCTCAGGCTGAGGAACAGGACGAACAGGGATTTTGGAGCTTTTTTCTGGAGTCATCATCTGTAACTGCCTCCTTTTGTATGCCCTCCTAAAGTCTGGATCATCTGAGATTTTCAAAGCCTGAAGAATCTTGTAGCCTGAGTCCTCATCCGAGGCTTGAAGAGTCTTCCTTTGATGAATAATCTGCAGCTTTCCAGTTGGTAGCCATTTGTATTTGAATCCATGCGCTTGTAGTGCAATCGTGGTGGCTTTCAGCTGGTAGCGGATTGACAGGGCTTCCTGAGGGAGATCGGGGAAGATTAAGATGCGTATGTCCTTAAATAAAAGGAAGCCTTTATTTTTCACCTCTGCCAGTATAAGGGACCTGGTCTCCCCATCTTGTAGCTGTATTAAGACATCTCTGGGGACCCTTCGGTGTGGATTGCCAGGGGCTCCCAGCCTGAAGGCTTTACTTATTTTTAAATTGATTGAGGACCCATCACGAAGTACAGCACACAGCCAGTCCTGGATAAAAGCAGCCATGGTAGTTTTCTCCTCCGCCCCCTCAGGCAGACCCCTAAGTTTCAAATTAAGTTTCCGAAGCTCCACTTCAATTTTAATGAGGCGATCTCTGCTAACAGATTCAAATTGTTTCAGTTCTCTTATCTCGGTCCTGCCTGTGGAGCTCATCCGGAGCGCTGCATCAGCTGTTTGAGCGGTTACTTTTAAAGCCGATTGTATCCCTTGCAGCTGTTCTTTGACCGGAATCATAGACGCTTGAATTTTGTCACTGATTCTGGTTTCCATCTGCTCTAGTAGTAAGGGTAAGTCCTGAATACTAAAGGTTAAGTTTGACAGCTGGTTCCGACTCCCCCCGCCCTCCATTTTGTCAGCGCCGTCCGCTATTTTACTTTCACCTTTACTGCCTTTCGGAGAGGACCATTTATGTCCGGCTTTAGGAGTACCTTTTTGAGTGTTTAGTCCATTGTTTTTTTCCATTTTCCAGTCAAAATCCGCTGTTTATAAGTGTGCGATAAGCCCAGAGAGAGGGGGGGGATCGGAGTGGCGGTTTCAAGCGGCCATTCGTAACGGCGTCGCCGCGCCCTTTCTAAAAACTCTTGATAGGCACCAGGAAAAATGTTGGCAGACACTATGGTACTCATGCGATCTGAAGAGAAACCAGAGTACTCATGGGCACTACATTAGGAACCCCTGTTCTAATAACTCTCAAATATATATCTGAATACCTATTTTCCTTTACTATTTTATATGAGATTTCGTATGTGATTAGCAGAATGTTCCTGAAAATGTATTTGAAATATATATATCTTCCTCTATCATTTCATTTGCAAACTGAGGAGGAAAAAATCTACAAAATGATAAGAAGAAAAAGGCACTAAGGGGTCTTTTTGATGTGTTTTTTCAATGACTGGGAAAATCAAATTTGGCAGAGAAATTCAGTGGCAGAGAATTTTGTGAACATCCCAAATCTTCGTGATTATTAAATACCACCAGTAAGTGCACCCTGAAGTCATTTTTAATTCTATAATTGTTGTTGGTAATTGGAAGTTAGGCATGATGATGTGAATCTTTACCCAGGAAAATTCCCGATTCCCCCCCATTTGCTCAAGTAAATAGCTTTTAAAAGTAAATATGAAAACAGTCACTACATATTTATATTTACTACCATATAACTAAAGTGTGTGTGTGTGTGTGTGTGTATAAAATAGATCACAAGTAAAGCTGAAAATTAGGCTTACGGGTCTTTCTAGCTGAGTCTTCAATGAAGAGAGAAGAAATATCCTCATCTACTCCCACATCATTTTTAGCAATGCAAGTGTAGGCACCTGTGTCTTCATATCGAACACTGCTGATGTGAAGTTCACTTCCATTTGCTGCAACACAGAAATCCATAAGCAGCTGTAAATTGTAATATGCTGTGGAAACTGAAGAGATTTAGGCTGAACATTTATTTGGCAGAAAGCTCCATTCAAATCAAATATGAACAGACTGTCAACTTCCCAGTGATTTTTCTATTCCTCAGAACTGAGGTTGCATGCAGAGGGAGGAGTCTGGAAATATTGAGGATGAAAAATCAGTTACCGTGAGTCTGGAAGAGCATGAAACTTGTAAAACTGGCACATTTTGCAAGAATCAGGAAAGGATGACTGCAGATTAATGTTTCCAATAAGCTTGCCAATCTCCAGGTGTGGCCTGGACATCTTCTGGAATTACAACTGATCTCCAGATTACAGGGATCAGTTTCCCAGTAGAAAATGACTACTTTGGAGGGTGGACTTTATTACATTATAATCTGAGAAGGTCCCTCCCTCTCCAAACCCTGCCCTCCACAGGCTCCACCCCCAAATCTCCAGGACTCTCCCAATGTGGAGTTGGCAGCCCTAGTTTTCAGACACATACAATGTATGTTTTCAGCAGGGGTCGTTTCCTGCAGGAGCGCACAGGAGCAGAGCTCTGGCAGTAAAGAGTCCAGGGGGCAGGCACACGCAACAAGTCCCACCCCCTGCTCCCAGCAGCCCTCAGTCAGAGCAAGAAGCAGCCAAAGTTGCAGAGCCTGCCCCCCACCCCCCGCCCTGGTCCAAAACAGTCCAATGGCACCTTTAAGACCAAGTTTGATTCAAGTACAAGCTCTCCCTCCTCTGCAAGGACAGATCTTCACATCCCCCCCCCAATAGCTAGCAATCCAAAACAGTCCAGTGCAGCCTGAGCGGTGGGTGTTGCCTTCTAACACACTTCCGGTGATGTCAGGGGGTGTGGCACATGCAAATAAGTTATGCTAATGAGTTATGCTAATGAGCTCCTGCACCTCTTTTTCTATGAAATGACCCCTGGTTCTCAGAATATTATTTCTAAATACTTGCACACAGGAAATTGCCTTATACTAACCACTGATGTATCAAGGTCACTATTGTCTACTCTGCCTGGCAATGACTCACGAGGTTCTCAGACTAAGGTATTTTACCTTTGTGTTACTGGGTATCACCTAGAAAATTTAGGAGCTAAACCAGGGACCTTCAATAAGAAAAGCAGATGTTCGACCACATTTTGACATATTATACAGTCATACTATATAATATCATGGTGCCTAATATCTGTACGCTGATTCCATAAATGTGTAATATGTCAAAAATGGCTATTAAGGAAAAATATAAAAATCTTCAGTAAATATTTCATGCACTAACTGTTTTTGTTTTCTTTAAAAAAAGAATTAAGAACTGTTCATTTTAAAAATGTTCATATGAAAATATATACAGCATAGTTTGGGGGTGCTCCTGGACCTGGGCTTCCTGTTCATTAAACCAATGGCAGTGGTGCCTTTCACCAGCCACAGCTGATGAGCCAGCTGCAGCCCTTCGGGGGTGGGGGAGATCTTGTCACTGTGGTGTCCGTCCTGGTAATATCTAGATTAGAATACTGCAATGCGCTCTACATGGGGCTGCCTCTGAAGACTGTTCAGAAACTACAGTTGATACAGAATGCTGAGACCAGAATGTTGACTGCAGGTGATTGTAGGGACTGTCACTCCAGTCTTGTTTCATCTATACTGGCTCCAAATATTTTTCTGGGACAAATTTAAGGTGCTTGTATTTCTGTTTAAAGCTCTGTATGGCTTACCTTAAGGCCCACTGCGATGCCCCTTCTTCACTCAGATGGAGTACCTACCACCCTCTACAATCTCTCTTGTTCAGTTTATGGGTTATAAGTAGATCAGAATGTCACATTTGCCACGTTCCTGTCTCCTTTAAAATCTACACAGAGTCATGACCATCTCACACCTCAGGTCCTCTCTCTCATTTCCAGAGACATCCACAGACAGGGTAGCCCAGCCCCCTTTAATAATTAGCCCTCAATATCAGAACGATTGGGGTCGGGGCTCAAATACTATACCAATCACTTGCTGCCACCACTCATTTATATCCTATAACATATGTGTATAGATATAGAATTTAAATTGTGTGTGTATGTTTCTTGCCCTTAGATCAAAACAAGAAATTTTTATTTATAGGGACAAAACACTGAGGGAAGTAAAGTAAGAAACAATATTTTACTTCTATTGACCTTTTGAACTGAGGCCTATACACACAACTGGGATCCTTTAGTTACAATATACTATTTTCAGCCTGTTCTAAGAAGCTCTTCTATACAGTTCTCCTCAGTCAGAAAACCCCCTTTCATCTCATCCCTTAAGCTGTCAGTTTCTCAGCTACTAAACTCTAACTATTGTTTTGCAATTGCTGCTTTCAAGTCTCCTGCTCTTAACATTCCATCAGCTCTCATTGGTTGCTCTTGGAGAGAGGCAGAACCTAGCCTGTCTGTCACACCTGCCTTCTCCCATATGTACCTGCCCATCTACTCCAGTCATCTTCAGAGGCCTTGCTTTGGGTGCTCCTGCGGTCCAAGGCTAGATCAGAGGCAGCCCAAGAAAGGGCATTATTGGTCAGGACAACACAAACCGGAACTCTCTCCCTAGGGAGGTTCATCAGTCTCCCTATATTGTTGCCTTCTGCCAATGAGTGAAGACTTTTTTTGTTATGTTTGGCACACCCCCTGTAACTATTATGGGTGTCCTCCTTGGTTTTGGTGTTATGTGGGTTTATATATTTTTATGCTTTATTTTTAATGTTTTTAATGCTGCAATATTTTCATGTTTGATGTTCAATACCTTGAGGACCCTGTTTGGGTAGAAAGGCAGCTTAGAAATATTTTAAATAAATAAATGCAAAAAACTGTAAGATGTGGACCTAACTATGTTTCATTACTGCCAACACAGTCCTTAGTGGAAGTTTTACCAAAGAAGCAATGGACTTACCTAGCACTGTATGCTAATAAAGAAAACAAAACCAAAGCACAGAACTATTCCCACTGAAAAATATATAAACAAATATTTTCTTACCCTTACCTAACAACATCAATTGCTTGGACAACTTTGGTGTGATACCAATGCCATTCTTTAGCCAGGAAATTTTAGGATTTGGAATGCCCTCAGCATGACATTTGAGACTTGCTGATACACCAGGTTCTTGTGCCTGGGTTTCTGGATAGACACGAATCACTGGTGGCACTGTGGGGAGGAAAAAAAGAAGAAGTAATGTCTTCAAACTAAGTTGCCAGATGGCACCTGTAATTGGTTTTTTTGGGGTTTTTTTGACATTCAGTAACTTGTGGCCTGGTTACATTTTACATGAAGTGTTGTGTTTCCTTCCCTTGACTTTTTGCTAAAAAGCATCTTCAGAACTTGAGGCTGAACAAACTTAACTCTTTCCCTTCCTATTGTTCCTTGGCTCCCCCCATCAACCTGCAGAAATGCTATAGTATCTCTGTATCTTTTTTCACACAGGGAGAAAAGCAGCTTGGGAAGAATTATTTTGAGTTGTCAAATGACGCAAAGAGAAATGATTGAGCATCTTCTTCCCTCCCCACCACAGCCTTTTGCTCAATAAAGTCTGTAACCATTTATGGTTTTATTATTTGCAGGCTGGCTAGGTGGCTTGGGTGTGGAAAGGTGGGATATGTTCTAAATAAATCAATGTATACATCTGTTTGTAAGGGCAACTTTGATTTTTTTTCTGCAGTGAATTGAATTCTGATTCTTTAGCTTCAATAAACTATTCCAAGACTTGAATAAACACTTGTGATTTTGTCACTCACCACTACAACGATCCTATGCGGGGTTGTTAAGCAGCCAGGATTTGAGTGACAGTAAAATCATGCTCTCTCAAGTGACTGGTATTTGGTCTGAAAAGCCATATATTTCAGATTGTCCCAGACTCTAGCCATACGATTCCAGGTCTAGCCTTGGCTCTATACCTAAACTACCATAGCCAACTACTGGTTCTGCTCTGATTAAGCAGATTTTTCTAGGCCAAGGTTCTGCCTTTGATCTTCTAGCTTCACTGCTTTGGTCTTAGGCTGAGATACTATGTTGCCAAAAAACTATATCCTAACATAATGATATCTGAGTAAACATCATCTGACATTCTGAGTCATCCACAAAAAGAACAATCTGCCACCATTTGCAGGTTAGAAAAAAGTTCCTTTTCTACTATATGCTTGCTCACTGTTCAAATCATTTTAAAAGGATAGTGGTACCATACTTCCCCTTATCAAAGGCACCTAAGAAAATATGCTATTGCATGAGGAATCAGGTGAAACATCAAGGTAGCAAAGCATACAGTTGGCAACAAATTTCATTTACTGCTCAAAAATGTTTACATAGCACATAGGCTTTTAGACAAAATAAGAGAACAAATTTAGAGAAGAGAAAATCCGAAGCTGACTTCAACACTCCCCCCCCCTTTGCACACTGTGAAATCCCTTCCTTCCTGTCGTCTCAAATTTTTTCTCTCTAATTTAGGAATGCTTGTTATATGAACATATTTGGCAGTCCCGGTTTCACCCCTCTGTTTAAAAGAACCACCTGAAACCTTGAAAGTTCTAGTGAAACTTGCAACCATGAAAAATTCTTCTGCATCCCCAGCAAAGAGCAATTTGTGGGGATTTTGATGGAAAATAACACAGGGAAATGTTAACATCCCATTTTCCCATGTTGCTTTTTTTTTTTTTTTAGTAGCCAGCATTTGGAATAAAAAAAATTAATGTTGCCAGTTTTGCCACAAGATATTTTTTTTCTTCAATCCGGATAAATCTTCTTGTATCAATTTCCAGGTTTTCTGATAGTTATTTTTAAAGAGATTACAGTTTTGTCCAGTCATGTTTATCCCCAGATATTTAATAGAGAGCCAGTTTGGTGTAGTGGTTAAGTGTGTGGACTCTGATCTGGGAGAACAGGGTTTGATTCCTCACTCCTCCACTTGCACGTGGCTGGATGACCTTGGGCAAGCCATAGTTCTTGCACAGCTGTTCTTGAAAAAGAGCAGTTTCTGTCAGAGCTCTCTCAGCCCCACCTACCTCACAGGGTGTCTGTTGTGGGGAGGGGAAGGGAAAGGCGTTTGTAAGCCGCTCTGAGACTCCCTTGGGTAGTGAAGGGCAGGGGCGTATAAATCCAATCTCTTCTTCTTCTTCTTCTTCTTCTTAATAGAATCAGTGGCTATTGTATATTCTGTACTCTTTATGGTATCTCCTTGTTGTTGCATTAAAAATGTCATTATCATTTTTGTCTTCTTTTTGCTGATTTTGTATCCTGAAAGGGATCCAAATCCTTCAATATGCTCCATTACATACTGTAACAATTTTGTGGATCCAAAACTGTTAGGACCACATCGTCTGCATAACTTTTCATTTTAAATTCTGTGTTATCCACTTTTATGACAATGCATATAAATATAATATAATGTAAAAGCATAATGGGAATTAGCTTTGAATATGAAAGCATAAGGAATTGATTTTTGAACAAACATACCCGTACTCTTCACTGTGAGATATTCTTCACTGTGAGATACATACTAGATTTTCCTTTAAATTTTGGTATATTAAAAGTAATAGATAGTAAGTAGAAATGACAAAATATTTAACATAGAATACGTAGCAATTATGAAGTTAATATATAGTTGTAAAATAGATTAGTTGTGAAATCTGGAATTCAAAATTTTTGAAATGTCTTAAAATATAATGAAGGGGAGCTGGAGGAAAATATTTTCTGTTTTATGTATGCCATAATTTATCCTTTTGTATTCCTTATATAGAGCTGCGGTGGCTCAAGTGGTTAAGACGCTGAACTGCAGGCTGTGGAAGGTCGGTAGTTCAGCAGTTCGAGACCCGAGTGTGCCACATGACAGAGTAAGCACCCGTCTCTAGTTCCAGCTCCTGCCACCTAGCAGTTCGAAAGCAAGAAATTGCAAGTAGATAAATAGGGACCACTTTGGTGGGAAGGTAACAGCGTTCCGTGTGCCTTGGTGTTTAGTCATGCCGGCCACATGACCACGGAAATGTCTTCGCACAGCGCTGGCTCTTCGGTTTTGAAACGGAGATGAGCACCGCAACCCTAGAGTTGGATTCGACTGGCTTTCGAGCAAGGGAAACCTTTACCTTTATTCCTTATATATTATTATATAACCCTTCTTTCCTTTTTTGCCATAGCTATTTCAGTAATAGAAAGGAGATGTAGCTTGGCTCTTGGGAACTTTAATCCCAAAGCGTGAATGCAAAATGGTCTCCACATATTTTTGAGGGAACAAAACTGGAAATTGTCTGGGACACAAGAATTTGGGGCTGGTTCCTAAGCAGCACAGGAAAAATCACACTAGAGAAAAGCAGCTTCCCCATTCCTCTCATCACTGCATCCTTCTATACCCCCCCCCTTCATTTGTGCTCTGGTGGTCAGTAAACCCAAAGGGACAATCTGGGGAGCACACACTAGGAGTGTCCTCCTGTCCTCCTTAGATGAAAAAAAAACCACACACATTCTGTTGGCAGCAGCTAGTGGCATCTTGGGATCCAAGCCTTAGATTTCATATTTCTGAGTAAATTAAATTTATGACACATGATGTTCAGCTGTCACAGGGGCTCTGCCACCAGTTCATTAGTTTACATACAAAATTCTAACAGTATTTTTTGGGTAGCATAGCAAAAGCTTAATGTGCTGGTAATGTATGTGCAAAACTGACTGAGCATGGGTTGGGATCAGGAATGTGTAGGAGCTTCCTGCAAATACCACATTCTGTTATGGTCACATAAATAGGGCTTTAAAGGAACCATAGGCTGTGATTAATACAACTGCTAGGCTGTGATTAATACAATAGTAAAGGTAAAGGTTCCTTTGCTCGAAAGCCAGTCGAATCCGACTCTAGGGTTGCGGTGCTCATCTCCGTTTCAAAGCCAAAGAGCCAGTGCTGTCCAAAGACGTTTCCGTGGTCATGTGGCCAGCATGACTAAACACCAAGGCACATGGAACGCTGTTACCTTAATACAATGCAGACATATTAAAACTAAGGATGGGCACTGACAGAACTATGAAGCAAAATTCATCATGAATTTTGCCCTATTCATGGTTTGTGAACAGGAATTACCGTCATGAACTTCCATGAACATTTAAAGCAGCTCATGCTGGTTCATGGATGGAAAAGAAGGCAAGGGTTTAAAGGGACTCTGAGTACCTTTAAACCCCTGCTTTCTGTTCCTCGCAAAAGCTGCAAAAACAGTGGATCAGTGAAGAGGTGCTCCCTGCTGCTCAGCTGTTTCTGTCTTCTGTAGTTCTTTTAAACTTTAAAAAAATGCAGAAGACAGCCTGAAAAATAGCTGACTGGTGAGGAGTTGTTCCCCACTGCTTGGCTGTTTCGAGCTGTCTTGTGCAGTCCCTTTAAACTTGTGCTATCCCTTTAAATGGTACAAGACAGCCCAAAACAGCTGAGAGGAAGGGTCTGGCTGAGGATCAGCTATGCTGGTGGGGAGCAATTTTGAAAGTTTTGATTAAGACATTGCCACTTAGATTTAGAAACAGAGGCCATACAATGTCTAGCAATTGAATTCAGCTTCAGTATCCATAAAGCTGTTCCCTTTCCCAGTCTCTCACGCGCCACTGACTTTCAACCAAATGATTCCATTTGCTTCCTGAACTACTGATTTCTAAAACATTTCTCAAGTCACTATTTCTGGTTAATGGTTAATACTGTAAATGGAATCAGAAATGACATCATTGTTTCTAGTCTCTCTGTTTTAAGGATTATTTTTTTTAAGTTGAGGTATATCTTGAACAGAAGTGACTGGGAGGAAACAAAACACAGAACTGTCAGCTAATGGGAGATTTATTTAGTGCAGTCAGCATCACACTTCTATGACTAGGCAAAACTCTGCTATATTAACCATATATTCCAATAAAAACCACTAAAACCAATTACATTATTAGGATATCATCTGTCATTCATTTTGACAAGCTTCACAAACCCTGAGATTCCCTAAGCCAGTTGACATAATGTTTTCTGGCCTTGCCAAGCCTACTAAACATCTGGAAGACTGTGTGTCACATTGGTTAGACTGTCTCTTTGAAGAAAACAGATTTGTGTACTGAGACTACTGCACAAGCCAATTTTTCTTAGTAAATTAACATGGGTGAAAAGAACAACATACTAATGTAGGGTTAGGCTCTAGAATAATTCTCATTAAAGC